GAAGACAGTTATTTTGCACAGACAGTCTTTTCCTAAGTTGAATGAATGAAAAAAAGTTTGGAAATCGTTATGGGTGTACAAAAGGATCTAATGAGTATAGAAGGGAAGGAAAATGAAGTTGGAAAGAGTCTGAGGGACAAGACGAAATCTAAATATTTCTGCCCAGTTTGCAGTTATTTGGTAACACAGGAATCCATTTCTGTATCCTACATTATTAAAGAAGAGACCATTAGAGAGACATACAGGGCCAGACTATCAGCTAGAAAAGCTGCTGATATCACCACATATGCAAGAAATGGAAAAAACTGTTAACTCAGCCTGACAGTTCTCTGTAGCTTTTCAAGGGCCCTGTCCAATCCAGCTCCCTGGGTCATTTTCTGCATTAAGGCTTTCTAGAGAGGCTCTGGGTTAATGCTGCCAGTTGACCTGAATTTTAATATTTCAGCTGAAATAACTTGTTATTTTTAAAACTTCTGCCCACATTTTTCTATTTATTTCCATAGAATTAAATTACTTTTCTTAATGTCACCAGTAAAAACCATTTAACAAGTCACTTACTTCTTCCAGAGGAAGAGCCCGCCTGATGTCAGTACCAATAGCTGTGCACACTGGAGCAGATGACCAGTAGACAGTGTCTATTGGAGATCAACCGAAGATGGCTTAGAGGAGGTTTCCTCTGGTTTGAGGATATAATGCTCAATGCATCTTGAACATTTCTTTATTATTAGCTTTCTTTCATGCCATATAATTATGTTTGTGTAAGCCACATGCTATTAAATACCTGAACAGGAGACAGTCAGATGGAGAAATAGATGTTTATTTCAAAAAAAAAAAGGAAAACAAAGTAGAAGTAAAATTTCTAAGTACAGAGCAGATCCTTCTCTCACAAAAGTCTTGAGAAAATGATCATGAATAAGCATTATTTAAAGAAGAAGGTTCTTCCTTTGAAGATAGGAATTTAGGAGCATAGAGTAAAAGCCAAGGAAAGATTTGCTAGCAGCTCAGTAGGTGAACCTGACCCACACAGTGCTCTGAGAGGTCACATTTGGAGGGAGAGATTGTATCAGCATGGAGAGGCACTAGAAAGCCAACCTCAGGTGCCATAGGCACCTTCATTCTCACGTTTCACAGCTTCATCACCCTCAGCTTCACAACTGGAGTAACATCTTGTTTCCATACAGATGTGCAAGTGCTCAGCTGTCTTTTCCCTTATGCTGTGCACCAGTGGAGGGAGGTCTGGATCTGTTTGAAGAGGTTCACTGCCCCAGCCTAAGAGCATCCTATTCCCTCGACTGTAATCCACTATAAGGCTTCAAGTCTTTTATAGCCAGTAAATGTCAAGTCATTATTTATTTTATTTCCCCTGTGTTTTAAGCTTCACGATGAGTCAAGAGGCTGCAAAACTCCACAGCCACCCAGCGTTTCAGAGGAATGGATGCCACCTCCCTTTGGCTGCTGTGACAGACACAAAAGCTCCACACCTGCTCCGTGTAAGCCCTGACAAGCGAGCACCTTCAGCCCACACCCAAAGGGGATTATTGTCACCATGGCTAGACACTTGTCTGTGCTGCTGACGGGAAATCTTCAAATTCTCCATAAGCTGCACTTGCTGGAGGAAAGCCACCAGAAAAACGTCTGCCTATGCTTACGCCTTCTGTTGTGTAAACTCTGGGCAGTAGAGGCTTCAGCTGAACAGATGATGAATCCCAAATGCTTTTTGTAGCCAAGGCAAGTTCTGACTCTTCAAGACCAAAGGGGACTATGAAAACTAAAACTCTGATTACCCCATCTGGCCATTTACTCAGCTGCAACTGAAGAGCATACGACCAAACTTCCAGGTGTTTAAGATCTCCGAGTCTGAACTGAAGCCAGGCACTAAGGTTGCATTTGGTTTCTAGACAAGACATAAGGACAGAGAGCCCAAAAGCAGGACCAACTAGCTGGCCAACTGAGCCCACCACCCAGTGTTAGCTTCTCTGACCCATCAACCTCACAAATTAAACAGTCTCCACCTTCACTCTTAGGGCCCAAGTAACACACGAGTGGACAGCACATCCTGTTGCTATTTACTTCTGCAGAAGACAAGCCTCCAGGACCCTCCCAAGAGCATCCCAATGTACTTCTGCAGGTGTTAGCCTGCCCTCCATCTCACACTCCCATTAGTTCTGCACCTACCTTTGGGCCTCAAAGCTGCTGAAGATAATCCCTCTTCTTTGCTCTCCTACCCCACACTTCCTGTGAGCTGCTCCTAGCTGCCTTAGGGATGCCTCTGAAGCTCCACCACGTCACCAGTTTCTCATTGCCCCTAGTTTCTCATTATTTTCTTGCATATCACATGAATGGGGTGGAGGGTTTACTCCAGGCTAGGCCGTGTTCTCAGCACACCTGGGAATGGCCAGAACTCAGCACCATGAAACACCTTCTCCAGGCAGGCAGCTTTCTGCTGCAGGCAAGGTAAACAAATATATAGTAGCACATACATTCAGTATACATTTTTATTTTTATAGCAGTAAGCCTGTGATTCATATTAATTGACAGGCAGGAATTACACAGATGAGCTAAGATACTAAAAAGCAAGTATTAAACAAGTATTTCTCACAAAAGACACCCCGTGTAACGCTGCAGCGAACACAGACCAGCGTGAGAAGTGATAGGAGATGTATGAAGAATAAAATAACAAACCTCTTAACCACAGATACGACTGCTGGAACATGAAACCCCCAAGCCACAGACAAGGTAAAACAGCACTTGGGAGGATGTGTGTAGAACTGGAGCAATGTCACAGGAACACAGCTAACAGAAGCCAACACCAAACTGAACTACTGAGACTTCAGTGGTCCCATCAACACGATTTGCTGGGAAAGCTGAAGAACAAATGATGCGCCCCTTCAACGGCGGGTGAACGCCTGACAAGTCACAGGCAGCAGGACAAGAACTTCATAGGGGAACTTGTGAGGGACTTCATGTTTCCTATCCAGTAGCTTACAGTTTCTACAGAAAGCTCTCACAGGGCTGTGGATAAAGCCCACAGCAGCTCAGGTAAAGCACCTGTCATACTGGACCTGGTCTTGAACCACATACAAAACTCTGCTCTTACAGTTACACAGTAAAATACCATTTGAATGAAAGAAGGCACAGGGAAATCTGCCTCTACCTCTAGTGCTGTACTGTAGCAGTTTAGCAGGATTCCAACAAGTTAGTTTAAAAATGTAGCACAAAGGGAAAACAAAACACCAAACCTATAGTAAGGATTTAAGTTAAAATTGAAGAAAGAACCAATGTGCAAGGGAATGGTGAGTGAGAGGCAGGTTCACACATATGTGGCACCTGATTCAGGCAGCTTTCAAATATAAAGGAAAACCACGGGGAGACGAGGAATTAGCAAAAGGGATCCCTGTATTTAGATGCTGTCAACATCAGGAGCTAACAGGTAACAGGGGAAAAAAAAAAGTAAAAAGTAAGCTAGCTATGATAATCCCATTTAAATCTCCTCACTCTTTAATATGGCTAAGGAGGCACTCAAGAAAGCTGTCACTGATGTTTGCAATAATTAGCAGTCCAAATCTCATCAGAAGAGATCTTAATAATATCCTTAAACACATCTAATAAAATAATTTCTTAGGACTACTTTTAGGAACAAAAATAAGTGCTTCTGTGGCACTTTGGACACCAGTTTTTGAGTTGCTGTCCTCCTGCAGGGCTCGAGGGCGTCGCTCAGAGGAGCTCTGCAGCGCCCGCGCGCTCTGCCCCGCACCCTCACCGGCCACGCGCCAGGGAACACCAGGGGAGGGGCAGCGTGAGAACAGAGACCCAACACCAAGGGCCACAGACCCTCTCACCAGCGCGCGGCTCAACAGTGACTCACACAAAGCCCCAGTTATTTAATTTGCAACTTTATTTCTTTATAAGTTATCAGTATAAAGTTTAATATCTAATTATACAGTAACTGGGGGACTTCAGAGGAAGGATATTTAGTCCTTTTTAGTGTCTTTTGCCATTTGGTCCTCAGTCGTGTTTTAAGAGGACTAATACCTATGTGTACCTTAAATTTCTGTACAAAACCACTTCAAGCCTTGGTTTTTCCAAGTAGGATGCACAAATCATGCATATTGTAGACAATATAATGGTCAAGGAAATACTTCCCTCTTTAAACTAAGGCAGTTAAATCCCCAGAAATATCAACTGAGTGATTTGGAAGAGTAAAAAGGCTTCCTCAGTGCTCATTTATTTATTCTTTGAGCAAATATCTTGTTCGGTAAGACACGCCCTCCTGGAATTATTATTGATTTGATTGCTGTCTGCATTGAAAAGAGATTGTCAAGGACAGCATTTAATTATGTACATTTTATAATGTCACTAACCCACCCGCTTTCGAATATGAACTCGTCTGCATTTAGCATTGTGTAAAACCACATGCAAAAATCACCATAAACTTGTTTAAATAGAACCAAATTGGCAAGGTTTTGGAAAGGATATTTCAATGTTAAAAAAAATATAGTCTATTCAAATGAGCACTTCAAGTAACTTAAATATCTTTAGCAAACGTGTCCAACAAGAAACTCTGTAAAAGAAATTGTTCTTAGAACAAAAAGCTAATGAATGGCTATTTAGACACTAATTTTTTCAACACAGCGCTGGGCCTGCGTGAAACAATTCGTAATCTAAATAAAGTGAGTCCATTACACTTAAAAAAACACACATTAAGCAGGACTGATTAACTATTGCATTTCTGTATTTACAAAAGTGCTTAGCATAACAAAATTACCTAAAAAAATATAAACTTTACTGATATCATTTGGTTCTATGTGTACTCCTAGATCTGCGCTTGGAAAAAAAATAGTATTTACATTGCTAGATTTAGACAAGTTTCGTATTATTTTTAAAGAAATTTAACAAAACTCCCCACACAAATGGACCCCTACGCAAGTCAGCGTGTTCCGTCTGGCTCGTCATAAACAGAGCAGAAGCCAATCCTCGAGTACTGAACAGCAGAGACAATTCTAGCTGCTCTCTGTGGCATTAGGCCCCAACACAGGCTGCCGACAAATGGGGCAGGTGGAGTTTTCCGAAAGCCAGCGATCGATACAGTGAATGTGAAACTCATGCATACAAGGTAACTGCCTTAGCTTATTCCCCGTGACGTATTCATTAATGCAAACACTACACGTTTTACTTATTTCATCTTCAGTCTGAATATCCCCATAGTTCCGAGTAGAAAGATTGTCAATCTGCTCTTTGGTTAAACCTCTTAAACGATCGTCATCATCATCTTCATTCAGCAAGAAGAAGTGGGCAAGTCGAAGTATGGGCAGCGTTCCATTTTCTACCAGGTTGTTGGCATCCTGAGACTGCCTGTTCTCTCGGTTCACATTACGGCGACCGTAGCGCTGAGCACCATTGCTCTGTCTGTTTGTTTCCCTGCTGCCTTCTGCTGCACGCCCGTTCCTAAAGGAAACCTCACCTGAGTCACCACTGTTGTTTGCTGAACTCGAGTGACTCTGCCCTGACCGTGCATCCACGGGGTGACGACTGCCCCTTTGCACCTCTGCGTTAGATTCAGTTTCCATTAAAGAACTCAGTTCTCCAAAGCCTGTCATGATTTGCCTGAGGATGGACCGAAGAGCCACCGAGGAGGGCTCTCCGAGCCCGGTTTCGGAAATGCGGCGCAGGGGGATGCGGATGGTGCTGACGTAGGTGCGAACACCCGCGCGCTCCGACCGCGAGATCGTGCGGCGAAATCCCCCGCTGTCACTTTCAAAGGTAACCGTGTTCTCTGCCATTCCCACTCTAGAACGAGTCCTGCTGGCAATACTGTCCCGATCTCTGTTTTCTCCAGGACGAATTCTTCTCACCTGAAGATCTAATGTAATTGTTGGATGCCTTCTAACAGCAGCTACAGGCCTACGGGATTCCTCCTCTCCTGAAGTTGTTCCCGAGGATGGGGCTACACTAGAAAGTTGAGGAGTCTGAGTGTTACCTCCCGCTTGTTCGTCAGCAGGCTGTGGAGAAGGCTGAGCTGATTGTCTTCTGCCTCTGCTGGCTGGCTGTGCGTTTCTGTCCTGCCTCTGCCCATGCTCCTCAGGACGTGCAGCATCCCCTTGTCTTTGCAGTGGAGAGCGGCTGCGGCTACTCAGAGTAGACCTCAGCCGCAGAATTTCTAGTCTTTGGTTTGAACTCATGCGAACACTAGTTCTAGCTCTACCTCTCGTGACTCCTGCAGAAGTGCCTCTTTCTGGAATTTCTCTTTGTCCACTGGTAGTTGCGGAATTATTACGTGCAGTATTGGTTTGGGAAAGGCCTCTCAACTCCCTCGTTCTACTCCTGAGCCTCCCCGAGACTGGAGAGGCTGCTCCAGAGCTCTCTGCCACCGAACTTCTCACAGACCTGGTCCTCGCCGTGCTCGTAGCCTCACCGTTTGCCTCTCTTGTGGTCCTGCTCCTCGTTCGTGGGGCTGCTGGACTGGCAGCTCTCTGATGTCTTCTTCCCAAGTATGTTCTGCTACTATCTGTACCCACATACTCCTCACCAGCACTTTCAAAGCTGTTATGTTCGTGATTTATGTTGATTTCAAGACTAAATCTAAACTCCCCACTGTTTGGATTTGTTCGACTCACAGCTCTCCAGGTTTGGTTCCCACTCTGTCCACTGCGAGTGGCATTTCCTGTGCGACGAAACGTGTTCAGCCATTCAAGCAGGGAATCACCATTTGAGTTTTCTCCAAGAACATCAGCATCTGAGGGAAACAAAAAATTGCCTAGGTTCATATCCCTGCATGCTCAGCATACTATGATGCACTCCAAATCCTCCACTTTTTGGTCTCTGACTTCAGAAGCAGTACAGCAGCAGGACAGCTACCTTGCTCTGTTAACGTCATTTAGCTGAAAATATGCTGTATGAAAAAACATCAGCCAAATTCATCACTTCAACCTAGAATTGTCTCACCAGCAGATCACAGAATGCTTTGGTTTGGACGGGACCTTTAAAGGT